CGCCGCTGCCATCTTCCCCGACAGCCCCGCGCGGAACTGACGCGCGCTCCTCCGCGCCCGCACGCTGAACACCCGGGACCGCCTCCGTCGTCATAGAGACGAAGCGCTCGGCCTAGAGAGCCTGGCGGCCGCCCGCTTCCCGACCATCCAGGGACAAGGATTAGGCGCGGAAACCCGTGCCACTCCCGACAGTGAGACGCTACGGCTGGAGGAGAGGCCTTGCTGACAAGCACGTAAAACTCGATGGGAAGGCGTCTTCTGTGAACTACAACCCCCAAGGGAGTGGAGCCAAGGGAGCAGAGCGTTGCCTTCTGGGAATTGTAGTCCAAAGCAAGTTGACAGCAAATAAGGATTTGCGGTTAGCCTTCGTGATTCTTGCTATTGCAGAAACTCCCACAACTCATAACAGAAACTACTTTCGGCAACGTTGTAACTTCCGGCAAGTCCATTCCCTTCCAATGTCACCTCTTAACCTAAACAATTTACATTACATATTGTTCAGAAGTCTTGTGCCTGTGTCCTTATAGTCAGGATTATCATCCTGTATAATAATCTACACTAATAAAAGAGAAACATGGTAATTGGCGTACGACCGCTACCCTTTTCATTGGCTAATCAGTGAGTATATGCAAATTAACTGTCAGCCAAGATGGCGGCCGGCAGCCAGGCACGGAAGCGAGCACGAGGCTTGCTTGCTGCAGACTCCAACGTTCCCCGCCACACTTGCCGGCCTCTCATCTGCAACTCTAAGCAACTATATACTATGTTGCAAATAAGAAGCTAAACAAAACCCCAGAAAAGGGCTTCCATTCAGCCGGGCTCGGACCGCAACATTGTATCGATGTTTTCAGCAGCGAGGCCTCAGAGCTAAAGCTGCCCCAGAATAAAAAAAAAAAAAGAAAAGAAAACAAGGAGCGGTTGGAAGCTTTAGTCACTCGCCAGCCGGAAAACAGCCCTCAGCCCCTCACCCAGACTGGCAAGGCACCCCAGTGGGGACCCCCACCCTGAGCCAGGACACCCTTCAGGGCAAACCAGCCAGCCCCTACCCATGCACCAGGCCTCTATCCTATATAGTAAAAGGGTAATATGCCTCCCAGCACCGGGATCAGCGGAGCAGCAAGGCTCCCAGCACCGGGATCAGCGTGACAGGGGGCAGCGCCCAAACCCCCTGATCGCCCTGTGGCTCTGTGAGTGACAGGGGGCGGGGCCACAACCTCCCTATCCGCCCTGCTCTGTTCGTGACAGGGGAAGACACCCCAACCCCCTGATCTGCCCTACTCTGTGCCTGATAGGGGAGCTCCCCAATCCCCTGATTGCCCTGCAGCTCTGTGTTTGACAGGGTGCAGCACACCAACCCCCTGATCGGCCCTGCTCTGTGCGTGACAGGGGGCAGCGCCCAACCCCCTGATTGGCCCTGCTCTGTGCGTGACAGGGGGTGGCGCCGCAACCTCCCCATCGACCCTGCCTTGAGTGTGACAGGGGGTGGTGCCCCAACCCCCCAATCGGCCCTACCCTGAGCGTGACTGAGGGTGGCATTGCAACCTCCTGATCCGCCCTGCTCTGTGCATGACGGGGCGGCGCCCCAACTCCCCAATCGGCCCTGCTCTGAGCCTGACCAGGGGCTGCACTTAGGGATTGGGCCTGCCCTCTGCCACCCGGGAGCAGGCCTAAGCCAGCAGGTCGTTATCTCCCGAGGGGTCCCAGACTGCGAGAGGGCACAGGCCGGGCTGGGGGACCCCCTCCCCCCAGTGCACAAATTTTTGTGCACCGGGCCTCTAGTCTTACATAATAAAAGAGTAATATGCAAATTGACTGAATGGTGGAATGGCAGGTTGCTACGTCGTGCACTGACCACCAGGGGGGCAGATGCCCAATGCAGGAGCTGCCCCCTGGTGGTCAGTGTGCTCCCACAGGGGGAGTGCTCAGTGGTGCCCCCAAGGCTCCCAGACTGCTAGAGGGCACAGGCCGGGCTGAGGGACCACCCCCCAGTGCACAAATTTCGTGCACCAGGCCTCTCATCAATTATAATTACCTAGCCAGACAGTCTAACTACACTATCGTTGCACAACAAAAGGGCTTCAAAATTATTAAGACGTGTCAACTGGCATTTACTTCAACCTCTATAATCTCCACTTTCAATAGAGGATATTAATTAGCATTAGCAATGTTAGAAATAATTTATTGGCAAAATGAATGTCTTTCAAGATACGTGAATTGGTTAAAAATACTACAAAGGTACTTCATCCCTCAAAGGAACAGGGGTACAAGATTCTGAGATGCACAGCAGGTTACACCTTCTGTAGAATATTTCCAAAATGACTTTAAATGTTTGAGTAGTTGATGCTATATACTATTTTCTTATCATCAGATATACATACAGATATATCTAGCCTATTAACATTATTGGAAAATTTTGCCATATTAGCATCTCATTAATTTTAGGAGGCTCCTAGGAGACCACAGTTGACTTTGTACAGTTGATTAATCTCATTTGGAACAGGGTTGGACCTTCCCTCTACCTGGTTGTATGTGTGTCCACTGCTGGAGTCCATTCATTGTCTTCACTAGCTGAGTTTAGACGGAGACCCCCAAAAGCTAGTAACCTTTGAAGTTCTAGCAAAGGTCAGAACTGTGCACCACCCAGTTAATCTAGGAACCACCCAGTTAATTTAGGTAATAATAGTTGAAGCATCATCCCCACCTTAGTTCACTTAATTCCTTAGATACTTATGTAGATCCTTGTTGATTATTGTTGATCAGATACTCTGCCTATTCCTGGAAATCATCTATTGATGAGCTAATCAGATACTTTGTCTATTCCTGGAAATTGTCTGCTGATCTGTGTGTCATTGAACCCCCCTTACCCTAAGGGCTACTCCAGATCAATAAAAGATTGGAGCAGCCTGAGCATGGGTGGAAGTCCTTCGGGACTTGCCCGCCTGGTCCCCAATATTGCAAAATTATCTTGTGTCTTTTTCTCTCATTTGTTGTGCGGCTCCTCTTTCAGATACCGAACCCTACTCCACGCAGAACGTGGAGGGAGTGTTACTCGACAGTCCACTAGTGTTAATCAGCTCTTCCTGTATTGATACATTTCTCACTTGTAGAATTATTCAGTTCCCTGCTGTGTGTGTGTTCTTATACATACACACACACAAAACCACATGTACTTGAAATTACTTTTAAAAATTAAAATATTCTATCATATTCATTCTGTTGTCTTACAACTAATGCTTTGTACAGTTTGGCTCTTTCTGTTTCGAGTATCATTATAGTCTCAGTTTGGATTATTTAACTATAATTATTCTCCCTTTTGATGCTCCAAGGACTCCAGTGTGGCCCTTGTAAGCCTGCGCATTTCTTGAAGCTTACACACGATTTTTGAAGCATTCTTTTTCATTCTAGCAACAACAGGTTCCTGGCCAATCCTGATTTTTCGGTGTTCAGCGTCCTGGACTCCACAACACTTCAAGGAACTACATGGTTCCTTCTGGTAGAGAATAGTATTACACACACACACACACACACACACACACACACACACACAC